GTGAGTGAGTGAGTGTGAGTGAGTGTGAGTGTGTGTGAGTGTGTGAGTGCTGATGATGGTCAACACTGCCTTCACTGAATTAGTGCTGTTTACCAGTCACTCATCACTTGTACTGCAGCTGCTAGTGATGTTCTGAAAGCGTTAGACTCCTCAGATCTGCCCTTTGCTGTGTGTGAGGACAGGAAGTGACATCCGACTGCAGTCATGTGATCGCTGCTCCTCTGAGCTCACAGCTGATTGGATTATTTCATATCTGCCCCCTCTAGTGGACATCGATCTCATCACTGACCAGCAGACAAACAAAACACTACTAGTTCAGACAGGAGTAATCAGTACTGGTGCATTACTTACAAATTCACTCAATTACTGATTAAAAATTACATTATAAAAATTAGGTTTTAGTTTATTTTTCTTATATAGCACATTTCCACTGCCACAAGAGCAGCCCAAAGTGCTGTACAATGCAATCAAAAAACCAAACAGAAACAATAACATACACAACATCTAAAAAAGAAAAAAAATGGTATATATTAAGTCTCTCCTAAATCAGACTCAAAAGCCAAGATTTAGAAATGCTTCTTCAAAGCCATTTTTAAAGCGATCAATAGGGAGCATAAGTGAATAAAACCTCAGATTCTTTACTGGATTATGTAGTATAACAAGACCTGACAAATACGAGGGCGCGAGACCATTTAAAATTTTAACAATTATTACTAAGGCCTTGAAATCGATCCGATATCTAACAGGTAACCATTGCAAGGATGCTAAAATTGGAGTTATTCTGTCCCTCTTTCTACTAGCAGTCAATAGCCTAGATGATATAAAAGCATGGATCGTCTCCAAAACTTTGGATGAGAGCACTGGTTTTATCTTAGCTATTAACCTTAAATAGTAGAAACTAGATTTCACCACAGTATTAACTTGTTTTACAAAATTCAACTCTGAATAAAAAAAAAAACACTCAGATTGTGTATGGATGAACATTTCTAGAGAGGGGCCCCAAATAACTAGAAATAAGGGGTGAAGGGCTAAGAATTAATAAAAATTAACAATTAATAAAGGTTAATAATATAATTTTGGACTACTTTTAGATTACGTTTGACTTCCATCATTGATTGCATAGATCATTTTGTAAAATAATAATTTCGGAATAGGGTTGCAAAGGGGTGGAAAATTTCCAGAGAATTTCCGTAAACTTTCCAAAAGTTTCTGAAAATTCCCCAAATATTCCAAAAGGTTAAAAAAAAAAATTCTAAAAATTTTTCCCAAAATTGTCTTAAAAGTTTTGTCAATTTTCCTGAAATTCTCCACCTTTTTGCAATCCTATTTCAGAAAAAAATATATTATATAAAAAAATAAATATAGAAACCATATATCAAGATATAGAAAATAAAAGATAGAGAATATATGAAATTATAAAGAAAAAAATATAGTCCATTTTTATCATGGAAACTGGTGTTTGTGAAGGAACTAAAATAAAAAATATATGAGAGAATAAATAAGTTACGAAACATTTACTGCAATGGTGTGAATAATGTGCAATCATTAAATCAATAAAAAAGTAACTAGTCTAATCGCGTATTATAATCTAATTATGAGCACTTCATTTTTTGGATCTGATGATGTAATCCAGATTAATCCGCTGAGAATAATCCTACAGACCGCAGTGTATACTGTGTGTTTATCTGTGCAGCAGTGAAACAGTTCTCTGTGCTCTGCTCGTCACGTTTAACGACCCTGTGTTTGATTGCAGCACGATGAAGAGAGAGGCGCGGTCTTCATCGCCTGATGACGTCATCATTCTGTCGGACGAGGCGCCCAGTCCACTGGTGAACGGAGGAAATCACGTCAAACAGCTGGACACGGATCTGCTGATGGTAAACACGTGACCTCTGACACGCGTGTTACGGCTCGCTCTCTGTGCCAGATTCATGTATATTTAGTGTATCTCATGTGTAGTGTATGTTCTGTTTCAGAGAAGTTCTCCGGAGGAGCGCGAGCGTGTCGTTAAGCAGCTGAAGGAGGAGCTGCGTTTAGAGGAGGCCAGACTCATCCTGCTCAAGAAACTCAGACAGAGTCACATACACAAAGACTCTGGAGCACAGAAGGTACAAACACACTCTCAGCCTGACCTTCAGTAGCACAGACAGTGACTAGCATGATATAATCATAACCCGCTGTGTTTCTGGATACATTAGTGGATGATGACTGTTATTCGTGGGGAATAACTGTTATAAGGGGAAGTCGTGGCCTAATGGTTAGAGAGTCGGACTCGTAACCCAAAGGTTGTGGGTTCGAGTCTCGTACCGGCAGGGATTGTAGGTGGGGGGAGTGAATGTACAGCGCTCTCTCCCACCTTCAATACCACGACTGAGGTGCCCTTGAGCAAGGCACCGAACCCCCAACTGCTCCCCGGGCGCCGCAGCATAAATGGCTGCCCACTGCTCCGGGTGTGTGTTCACGGTGTGTGTGTGTTCACTGCTGTGTGTGTGCACTTAGGATGGGTTAAATGCAGAGCACTAATTCTGAGTATGGGTCGCCATACTTGGCCACATGTCACTTCACACTCACACACACTTATTCTGTTGTGTCTCGATCAGCCAGCGGCTCCTGTGTCCAGCACTGCTCCTCCTCTGTTCAAGAGATCTGCTGCTGGGAAAACTACAGCACCGGTGAGTCCAACACACACACACACACACACACTCACACACTCACACACACACACACACACACACACACACTCACTCACTCACTCACACACTCTCACACTCACTCACTCTCACACTCACACACACTCTCAAACACTCACACTCTCACTCACTCACTCACTCTCTCACACACACACACACACACACACACAC